GACTTATTGTAGCTAATGAACAACTTAATAAACTATATAGGAAGCCAAATCACTAAGGATACCAAGTAAATATATTAAGTCCGTTGACTGGTTTTGTTCTATACAGTCTAAAAGGCGCTGTTTGATTACTCAATTGAGCTCAACTATTGCTAAATGCTGTTCATGGTAATAATCATTTAGATGCAAATATGAACCGCTGTCATCATACAAAGAGGGGAAGTAGGCCACACTTAATTTTTTTAGACCATTCACTACTTAATTTTATTGGGAAGTTTTATTGCTTTTTGGCTTATTGGATCAAACGTTTTGCATGGCTAGCTCATATTCTCATGGCAGATTAAAAGTTCACCTAGATTGCCATGCACTTTCACCTTCGTATTTATACATCCAGAGTTTTGCACTAAACATTGAGCCGCATATTTTTTGCACACAGACATACTTTATACATGAGTCCCACAAGAAAAATGAAATATCATCCTTAAGTATCAGTGTGGATAAGTAAGATTTCATTAAAAAAGCTAATATAACCTACTACAGTATAAATTCCACATTCATTGCTTCCTTAATTAGCATTTGTGCATTAAGGCTTTTGCTGTTGAATAGGTTTTTTTCAGATCTCATAATGCCACTGCTATTTTCCATTCTCCCTCAGGGAGTAAATACATTTTTCACTTGCCATCCTGTTTAGTGTGTATAACTTTGTTTTAAATAACTCAACTTTGTTTTTTTACTTTTTATTTACAGAATGTAGATCAGATCATTTTCTTTCGTAGAGTGTCTTAAGGGCAAGGCAAAGTAGGTTCATTTCTATGTTCCATATTTTACACATTCCAGATGCAAGAAAAAGGGCAATGTATATTCTGAAATAATTCAAGAAAAATGAAATTATTGATTATAAAATACAAGAAAGCAGCACTTTGAACTTAAACTTAACACAGTCAAAGGTCAGACTAAACAAATGTTTAATCTGAATTTAAAGCAAAGTTTTCTGGGGGTTTATTTCAGGTTAGTGGAGCATAAGAACTAAAAGCTGCTGCTTCATTTTTGGTTCGGACTCAGGGTATGCAGAGTAGACTTAAGCCAGAAGACCTCAGTAGGTCTGGGCAGTTGATATATTGACAACACATCTGTAATGTATTTTGGTGCAAATGCATTGATTGAGTCATGGACTAATAGGAAGTTATTAAAGTCTATTCTCTGAGACATGTGGAGCCAGTGTCAGGACTTTGACATTGAGATTCTTTACTTTGTTATTTTTGGTGAGGATGCCAGCAGCAGTTATATTAAAGATGCATTTTCTTATTATGTCTCTTTGGCTAACTGATTTATTGGGATATGATTTTAATAATAACAGAAGCCATCGGATGGAGCAAAATCAGTTACAGGCACTTTGGAAATCTTTTTGGCTTTAGGGAAGATCAAGTCCAAAACATGTCCCTGTTTGTGCATTTTTGGAGTCAAGCCTAAATTCACTTAATTGAATTCCTTCAATGTCTTCAGGACAGAAATGGAATATTGATATGGATGTTGAAGTCTCCCACAAATATTAAACGGCCATAATTAACATATATCACAACAGTAATGTCAATAAAATGACTTTAAAAAAGTTCAAATTTGGCCAGAAATACCTTTTCAAACTCCATTGAATCTTTACACAATGTAGCCACCCCTCAATGTTGTGATCAACATGAAAACTAGAAAGCTGTTTATACGTGTGAAGCTGAGATTAAATTGGAAATCAATCAGGACCATTGCACAAACATTAACCATATCCACTGCAACCATTTTAAATTTCATTAAGCAAAAATAAACAATGGTGGTAATGAGCAATATATGTCAAACATGTAAAAGGATTTTATAACATCACAAAACACTGTAGGATCTGTAGGGAGAAAAAAGGCTATATAATATGCAAGGCTATATATATATATATATATATATATATATATATATATATATATATATATATATATATATATATATATATATATATATATATATATATATATATATATATATATATATATATATATATATATACACACATACATATATACATAATGTTCTGTTTACTTCCCAGTTTGACTATAGCATTAAAAAACTCATCATACTACATCATTTGAAAGAAAGCTGGAAATGTTTGTCACATAATCAGGCAGGAATCTATTTTCAATATATCAGAACATCATAATCCGAATAAGGCACAGAGGAAGGCTCAGTGAGGCGGATTTAACAGTCACATGGCTTGTTGCAAAGGAGCCACAGAAACAGAGTAAAAAAGCCTCGATCAAGAGAGAAATAGAGAGTTAAAGTGCATCTGTCTACAAGCTATACTGTATTTTCCTAAGGTGCAGTCCAATTCAGACATGCAAAACAAGATGCAAATTGTATTCTACGTAAACAAAATAACTCATTCTATTGTTAATTTGTTTAGTTAAATAAGAACTTCAGGGCCAGGAAATTTAAAACAAGTGGTAAGATACACATTATATGCTATCTAATTTAGAACAATTACATCCAAAAAGGTGCAACATACTTAAGATTATTCATACAGCAGACATGAACCATTTGGAATTTTGCCAAGTGTATTGCTCCCATAAAAAAGCTAGAGGTATAAAATACAGCAACAGATATTATTTTTTGGCCCATTGTAAATACTTAAAATTTTAGCATGCAAACTGGTACAAAACCTGAAATTTGGAAAGCTCTTTAGGTTCCCTCTTTACATAAAGGATAGCAGTTAAAGAACTGCTATCCTGCCTCTAAACTATCAGTATTTGATAAGATCATTGAAACTAAGGTTAACTTGCAGGTGAATCAATTTCATATTATAAATAGTCCTTTATGTGATTATTTTTCAGATTGAAGAATTAATCCCTCCTTCCATTGTTGTGACAAATGACCTCGTGCAAGCCCTGGACACAAAAACAGCATTGTGCTCAGTTATTTATGAATTAGGGTTAGGGAAGTTTCAACAAACTTCTGAATCCCTATAATAACACAACGGGCCCTAAATGAGTTGAAATGGTTTAAAAGCAACAAACCAGGCTTCCTTAAGACAGCTAAAGGTATGCCCCAAAAGTTCTTTTTTTTGTAGTTTAACTTTAATAGAAAAAAGTCAAGTTAAAATGCATTTATATGTTGATGACATAATAATTTATGCATTTGATACATTTATAGCACAGGAAGTAAACTAACATCTAAACTGGTTTTGTAAAGAAAACGCACCTGTACAGAATAATAACTATATTTATATAATAAATGCATATTATAAACTTTTAGATATGATAATCTTTATTTGTTTAAAAGTGTATACTGATTAAAAATAGTGTGTTCTATCATAAAGTAGCACTCATTGTTTTCTCTTGAGGGCTGAAAGGCATCATTGTAAGAGTTTCATGTGAAATTGTAGCACTCACAGTGTCGTTGGCGTGTCAGTGGTATTATTAATTCTCTAGAGCGGGCCATAAATACTTCCTAAGCTGGGAGATATTAATCTTTTAATGTTGTTTCCTGTGAATGTGAGTGGGTGTGTGTTTTTTTTCTCAGTCAATGCTCTTTTTGGAATTAAAATGTTTATCTTTCTGTACAAGTAATTTCATATAAACATATACACATTTAAGTTTTATTTACATTTTTAAACTATCAACATTATTGTTTGTTTAGTGAAGTCCCTTCCTAGTCAAACTGAATCTTAAAGAAAGGATCCACTATTCACGTTGCAAGCAAAATACTTAGAGAATTAAGAAAAATCCTGAGAATTAGTGGACTCTTCATCCATATCTAACAGACTTTGACGTAACTAGGCCCAGCTGGACAGTCTAACTTGTTGCTTAATATTTAGCTCTCTTTATCTTTTAACATTGGGCTTAAGAAAGTGCCCCAAGTTATGGTGCCCTATCGAAATTATGGTAAATATCAAAAGCCAACATGAAAATTGCACATGAACACCAACATATATCTTCCTGCAACTGGGGAAGATGAAGTCCAAAAAAGGTTCAAATATCTAGAACCTGTGCATCATCTCATGGGTCCCTCCTCATGCTGATTCAGTCTTCTTTTACACAGTAAATACTAGTGGCTGTTAGCAGCCGCGCTTCGGAGGTTATCATCCAAATAAATGGTTGTTATTAGCTGCTATCAATCCCATAGAATGGCTTCAGATTCAGATTGTGCCACTAGGCTCATTAGGTTGTTATCATGTGAGTCCTAATCCTAACCCTAGAGTAATTAATTTTCCTCTGTGGAATTAATGAATCTACAGTATTTATCTGGAAATAATTTAAGTAGTTCTTCACTTACTGTAAATATAACTAAATAAAAATACAGTGATCAGCATCTCACTCATATTGAACAAACCAAAAACAAATAAATCTCATGCCTTGTCAACTAAGTTGTATAATCCTCTCCCTATAAATATTTAACTCTCTGTGAAAAAGTAAAGAGCATTCTATAATAATATCCTCGTCAAATAGAAATGCAATGTTTTTTTTTAAAACCTAATGTATCTAACAGACCTAGTAAATGATATATAAATATGTTTTTATTGAACATGAAAGAAGACTGTCCAACACTGTCTCTATTCTGTTTCTTAATTTTTCTGTTGCGACACATTAATGAATATTGCTAGATCCTCTTTCTATAAGCTGTACATCTGATAACAAGAATTTATGGATAATAAATGATAAAACACATATTAAAGAGGCCAAAAAAGCAGAGCAATGGGGTAACTACAATTATGTAATATTCAACAATTTTAGGGACACCCCTCTCTACCCAGATGCCCTTGTTTACACATGGTCATCTCTTCATTCGTGTTGCATGATGTAAAAACATTGTTTTCATTTACCTATAAATATCAAGAAGAACACCTAAGCCAAAAACAGTAATTAATTTGTCGTAGTATGTCTGTTGGACTTCTCTTAGTAACTAAGAAAGCAATTCTGAGTTCTACATTGCCAGACAGCACATGGCTAAAACAACATGGTTTTATTACTCACAAGGCACAGCATGGCGATATAGATTGGCTCGGATGGTTTTCTGCAACTCGTGGTCAGGTGATGTTTTCTGAAACCTTAAGCTCAAGAAGTGCTTTAGGTCCTTGTTGAGCTTGTTGCCTGAAAAAAATGAAAAACAATATGCAATTAAAATAAAAATTTGAGGGAAAATTTGAGGTTATATTGCTAAAGGTCATGGCAATTGACTGTTGAAATACTGCCAGTTTCTTTAACCCACATCTAAATGTAAGTATTTCAGTGTGGATATCTAAATATTTTTCTATGCTTATATATTAAATTAATGGAGCCTAGGCAGAAGTTCACCTGAAGAAACTCATTGCTCTCTCACATCCACCTGCGACACAGCCAATCAGCTTTGAACCACAGGTCCATGAAAGCCAATCAGCATCCAAAGTCCATCTTAAAAAACTCTCTGATCCGCACTAGTCTGCTCCTGTGCGCAGGTGGTGGATGCGCTGTGTCAGATGACACCTCCTCCATCGTAGCTAAAGCTTCATCAGAGTGTCATTCCTCCCGGACTCGTACTATGTTCCCTGTCTCATCTCAGCCGGTCTGGCAGAAGACCGCAATGTTGAGCCTGATTCTGCCAGAGGTTTCTTCTCAACGGGGAGTTTTTCCTCTCCACTGTTGCTTCATGCTTGCTCATCATGGAGAGTTTCTCTCAACCTGTGTTATCCAACTGGACTTCCATCTTCCAGGTCCCTGAGCGAAGCTCCAGTATCAGCTCACGCAATCTACTAGATCTCCCCATAAAGCTCAGCAGACCGTCTCACAGACTACAGACTGACCAACTTCATCTATCTCCACTCCACCACCAGTTTCAGGCCTGGGGGGAAACGGCCCTATACTTTGCTCTTGTTCATGCATATCTATCAAAATTAAATGCTTCCTGCCAAAGTCTGAGCGCCAAACACAAAGTTATTGTATCAATAAATTCTCCTTATTGTCTTTTCTCTTCGTGTGATTTTTTCAGATTGAAATGGAAGAATGAAACTTTCTGACCTTAACACATGCAACATATTCTTGAAATTCAAACATTTATAGCATACAATAAAATTGTATGCTAAAAAAGCTTAACATTAGTGAAAATTGAAAAATCTGTCATTACTATATGTATTACTAAATTCTATATGTTTGACATCTAGCGTTTACTCTTATTCATTAGGTGCAGGACAAAATCCCAGAAAAAAAAAAAAAGGTCCAACATTTGTTCCATGCAACAAAAAGCACACAGTATGCAATGGAGGGGTTCATTTACTGAAAGAAACAACAACAGCTCCCTCTGACTCAGTAAAAGTGTGACCGATTGGAAGAAATTGCAGAGCATACCCGGAATCTATCCAATCAGATTTGTGCTTGCTACTGACTGAGCTTGAACAGAGCTCCAGTGCTCACAATGGGGCCAGATGGCCGTAATTCACTCTCACGCCAGGGTCTCATTTAGGACCATTTAATGATCTCCAAATATATAAATCATGTCTGCCAGCTCTGGCAGACAGTTCTTAGAGTTGGTGCCATGCTTCCCTGTCGGCCTTATATCCCAATAGTGTAGTCTTCTCTTGCCATGTACATGAGAAGAGCAGGGTCTGCTCAATCTCCTCTTTGAAAAGGTTAGTAATAATTTTTAAATGTCTAAAATTATCCAATCCAAGGCAAATTGAGTAAAAAAAAAACTATGCAAATTTGTTTTTTATGCAAAAGTTAAGAAATGAAAAAGAAAAAAGATAAAAAAGAAAAAGGATAAAATAGAAAAAGACCCATGGCTTACATTCTTTTATGAATATGACTGTAATATTGTATGGCATTTTTAAAGGAACATTTGAAATAGAGTGCTTGATGGACTATTTTAATATACAAAGATACCAGTCTTCCAGCTTGCAGTAATCCATTATTTAGTAGGTTGGACAACAACACAGCAGTTTGGGGGGTTTTTGATCAACATGTGTCCAATCGGCTGCAGTTAGAACTGGTGCTATGGTTACATAATCTGTAGCTATTAAATGTTATATTTTTGTTGGCAGCAGCTTATTCAGCTAAATTTCAGCTTGTGGTTGTAATATGCAAAGCATATACCCACAGATCTTCCATGAGCACAACAGTATACTGTGATTTAGAGAAGAAAACAGAAGGTCATTGAAGCCTGAAAGGAAGAGCTGATAAAAGGGTGAGTTTCAGTGCACAAGAGGCTCTAGCTCGAAATTAATACTTTAAATCAGTAAGGATACTTAAGCCACAGCGGAACTTCATTAGAGGGTGTCATAATAAGTGCTATCCGAATAGTACTGGTAGTAAGAAAGGAGCTAGAATGAGGAAGACGGTGCTTCCTGGTGCCCATTATTATAGCATAGGAACATCCTTTCATTCCCAGCCTAAGAGCTTTTCGGTTTCCTATAGTCATTTGCATGATGGGATATTTAAAGTACAGCCAACCACATGAAGTGTAAGAAACATACATTAATTCTTCAAGTTTATTCTCTGTGACCCATGTGCATACTTTTTTTCCCCAGAAAGCTGTAGCCCCAACATGACCGGTGACATTCATGTGCGTGTCTGTCACGTAATGACATTCCTAAGGCTGAAGGCTGTCTGGATTCCACACTGCAGTCCATAGCTCCTTTTCTACTCTGCACAGTGTTCTTACTGAGGACCCCATGAAAAGTGAAGGGATATGAGTTAAGAACAGGAGGTAGAAGACACAGTTCAAGGAATTCAGATCAAGCCTCCATCATGTGGCTGTGTGATCACCTCAAGCAAAACCAGACAGCCTAGTCTATATATACTGACATTAAATATAACATCACCTGCAACAGGTAATAAAAAAAATATATAAAAGAAACGTCATTAAATGTACAGTCAAATCTACAGTACAACAGGGTGTAAACTAACTCCAAGATTATTAATAGCAAACTCAGCCAAATCGTAACCTGCTTTATAATATTTTGGCCCAGATGCCGAGACACAGTTTGGCTTTCTACGATACAGCATTTTTATATTCCTAAACACACACATACACCACACACATACAGCCCTGTGTGTGTAAGCCAGTGTAAGCAAGCACAGTCAGGTAATTGTTACCTAGCAACCGGCCAGTGCTGATGACCATGATTACGGTCCCTGCTAGGCAAGCAGAAGTCACATTTTTAAAGGCAAAAAAGATACATCAGCACCATCTCTCTCGTTTTCTCTCAGTCTCTTTCACAAACACGAAAATAAAAATACACTTGGTTTAAATAAACATTATTTGCATCTGACGATCGTTTGCTGTTCTATTTTGGAGTTATAAAACCGACACTCACTTAAAAAATCCACTAAGAAAGCAGTAAGAATGTTATACATATGTATACATAAGTATTCAGACTCATCTTCCTAGTAGCTTTGCTGGCGCAGGAGCTTTCCTAGAGAGAAAGATTCTTGTCAATAACAACCCCCTCCTGCAGGTACATACAGCAGGCAGGGGGTGTGCTCCCCAGGTGCCATGCTTCATCAATGAGAAAAGCATAAAATATTCAATATTTATGTGGATCTGAGCTATGGGGATCAAATAAAACAATTCCCCACATTCATGTGTGTGCTTCTTTTATAGGTTTAACCCATTGGCTTTGCTGTGGAATGAACTAAGCCTCAAAATGTGCTGTATTTTATTCTAGTATACCTCTAAACTTAACAGAAGTATCCTAAGAAATATGCAAAAACCATATGCCATTGCAGTTTTGGGATTTCATTAAACAGCTTTTTGCAAATGAGAAAAGTTATTTTAACCAAAAATAAATATATACAATATACTGTACTATAAAATTGCCCTTGAGGTTGTTAAATTCTAGTTATTATACTTAAACCAAATCATTAACGTCTCTGCATTTTATGATTAAGAAATAATAGCCAAATCAATGCAAATGTGCAGGTCATTCTTCCAACAATTGGAAAGAATAGAGGCGGACTTTGCCATCCTAAAGAAATGGAAAGAGGCCGAAAACTAGAGGACAGGTAAAGCATCTTCTTCTGCTAAACAGACAAGAGAGTTTACTCCATTTAAAACTTTGAGGCCTATTATAAAACAGTGGGCAAAGCCACCAACGGTAACACAAGCCAATGAATCCAGTGAAACCACCGCTCCCTGACTCTCCCTACCTTCCATCACAATACCATTACGGCAAACTCTGACAGGTCAAGTTAAAAAAACCTGAAACAATAGCTGTGACAGGTACCATAGCATGGTACTGCTTTCTATTGTCTGCAATGTTACATTTCCTATGAAAAACAAAAATGTTTTTAAATTTTACAAAATACATTTTCAAGTGGCATAACCATTTCAAGAAGATCAAAATGTTAGGGGGAGGCCCTTTTGACTGTCGTCATTCCTACATGTCCCGCCCAAAAAACACTGCTGGCATGTCATTGGTCTGACTCTCATCTGGACGTATTAGCAGTAGTCTTTCAAGATGAATTTGTTGTGAGACTGAAAACTCAGATCATGTGACAATCCAGGGTCCAGCGCAAGGTTAAGCTTAAAGGTCAGTCAGAGAGAAAAAAAACAAAATCATAATTGCCCCAATTTAGTTGGAGTTGCCTGCCGGGCAGGTAACTCACACTAGATTGAAACAGCTTCTTCAAACCTAGAAACCTCATAAGAGCTCATAAGAGCATCCACCACTTCATCCTCTGTCAACATTATTTTCTCTTTCTTCCATTTTGATTAAAAAAAGTTTGCCTCTACTTTAGGTCACAGCAATATCTGATATCTGATTTAGGGACACAAATGTAAACAAAGGTTCAGATTTCTTAACTCCTGCAACAAAATGATGGGAATAACAATAAGGCATAAAAAGCACTGGTATTGGTATTGCCAGTACATCATTTCTAAGACCGTATTGATAGTGAAAAAATGTCGATTTGTGTAACCCTAACCATAATATTAACATCAATTAGGAAGAAGTGAAGAATTGTCTGAATAAACAAAAAAAGTGGCTAAAGTAATCTTCTTGTTTCTTGTTGCTAAAGTTTGAAAAACCCTTTTAGGAGAGATGCTGAAAAGAAGTCTGTGTATTTGTTATTACAAGGTTGAATTGCAGTAGTTCTTCAGTTCAGGAAGTCCACAAAAT